AACTGATGCCAGAAAAACCTCATTTTGGTGTGGGCCTTTCCAGGAATAAGAAAACAAGGCAGCCTCCACTAGGTCTGGGCTTTTGCATGTTGCAGAGCCACGTCTAACTGAATTAAGTAGAGACGCCAAGAGTAAATTGCTGAAACATTTCTCATGCTGACTTGGTTTTACAAGAATGCAGCCTACCCTGAACACTGTATGGATTTCCAAGCAAGCTGCATGATCAATACCTTACTAGTCACATGTTTAAGGAGACTGGCTTGATCATTCTCCACAGTCTAGGTTTATTCTTCATGACCCGCCGAACTTGGGAGGAAATCTGTCTGCCAACAGATTCAGGTCTCCAGGAGAGTGAGCAGAAATAATCGTGCTTGTTACTACAACCACAAAGATTTATATATTTCTAAGCATATGCCTCAGTTTTCATGAATAAATCTAACCATGATTAGTCCCTGCTTCTTGGACGTCTCTGAGTGCCACAGTTAGTCAGCCTTAGGCAGACAATATTCCCATTGATTTCAGATCACACAGATTTTAATGAGAGCCTGATCAGAATAGGACCTGCAAAATATGCTCCTGGGATCACAGGCTCACAAGAACAAGTACCTGAAGAAATTTATAGCAAGGACAAGGGAGAAAGAAGTTAGGTAAGACCACTTTGATGAGCGGCAATTTTGTCCAAAGTCAGAAACCTTACATCTCACTGGAGAAACAAATGTGTATGCAGCCAGTGCTTAGTGTATTAGCTGCAGATCTGGGATTAGCACACGGTGAAAATGCAGAATTCGGAATAGACCCATCACTACTACAGGTAAAGAGGAGGACATGGAGCCCTCTGCCTGGGGCTACGATGTGTGGGATGGAGCTTTACCCAGGTGGGTTCCCTGGCACTGGGCAGCAGAGCCTGGGGGCGCTGACACGTTCACTTCCTCCACATGAAAGTGGGATAAATTGCACCTGGCTCCACGGCCAGCCCAGCAGCAGCGCTGCAGGGCATTAAAAGACATCGGCCCCTCTGGAGATACTGACCTCGTGAAAGGCCACAGCCCGGCGCAGTGTGGTCAGTCAGGGTCCAAGCTGCCCTTATCTGCATGTGCTCCGGTTTGCATACAGGACCCATAAACTTTTCAGGGAAAGAACAGCTACAGACCGATCTGTTTCTTTTTATATATATTCCAGGAACTTACCTCCTAAGCTGCAAGATGACATTTTAATGAGGTTTCACAGCATAGAAAACATAGGACGATTTAACCAGCTCTTTGCCTCCCCAGACTGCCTCTGAAAGGAGTTACCACTCAGGAAAGGGAGCTTTTATGAGAATTTAGGTGGCCGATATTGAGGCAGGGGTGAGTGAGAGGCACTCAGCTGCAAAGTCTTGGCACAGGCGCTGGCAGCCTCCCCCCGCGTGGCAGATGGGGAGGCCGTGTCCCTGGGACCCGTGTCTTCAAAAGCCTCGCGCTGCTGTTTTTGCTTGTTTGCTTTGGAGTCACCGGGAGGGCAGCATGAAGTGGCCGCAAGGCAATTCCCGCTCGGCAAAATGGAAGTCGCGCAAGGCTCTTCATTCAGTACAATGTGGCTCAAGAGGATATCCTGTCAAACCAATGATAACGAGGGAAATAAAGTCACTTCCTCACCAGCTGTTTGATTCAGGTAGAAGAAGGAAGTCCTTGCTTCCTCGTGTTTGCTCTGCCCACCACCCCCGCAGCAATAAATGCAGAGCGCGGCGCTGCGGCTGGATTTCCCCTTTGCGCCTGCAGTGAGGAGCGTCCATAGCATGGACGCGTCGCTGGGCTCGGCATATGGGAAGCATTTAGTCCGCCGCAGCCTGGAAGTTACGCCCTGCCTCTCAAGCAGGGAGGAAGGCTGAGTTGCAAAAGTACCGAGACTAAATAAGCTTGGCTCGATCTGTAAGCAACACATGTTCACATAATTAAAGATGGCTTCTTTTTTTTTGTAATTTCTTCAGACAAGAGCTGCCAGATTTAGGCCGGAGAGGAGCAGTGTGTTTCCTGGCCTGGCTCCGTGTGCTGTTGCACCTCCAAATCCTCCCGCCGAGACCACCTCCCCTTTTGCCCTAGCTGGGATCCTTGGAAATCCAAGTGCCGCCAGTCAGGAATATTACGTTGCTCACCACATACTGCATCACTGCAGCGCAGCCTTTGCTGCTTGCAATTCATTGGGCGAGAGGAGTAGCTAGGGGTGCTCCGGGGGCCTCCTTCCCATGTAGGTGCTGCCTGCTAAGGGCAGCTTAGGCAGAGCATCTTTCCCTGCACCGCTGCCACCTTTCTTGCTTTACACGAGCATCCACACTAAATGTAGAGACTAGAACAGCAACAAACTGAACTGACTAAATAAAAGCATCCACGGAAATTGGCTTTTAAGAAAAATGGAAAACTAAACTATTAAAGAATTAACCCTAGAGTTGAATGGAGAGTTCTTTCCCACATAATTTCTAACTGCTCTGATGTAGTTTTACATCCAGGATGTAACTTTGCATTAAATTTTCAATAGATCGGTTTTAAAACAGAAGCCTTTCCCTGTTTTCCTTCCAACTGTGTTAACATCTCCAGAAGGGATACCCCTACAAGAACTTGCCTGTTCCATGCCTGGACCGTGCTGTGGGGACCGTTGCTTTCATTATAAGAGCTACTTTTCAGAGGATTTCAGATGTTTCAGGCAATTTGGCTAATCTTACTTGTTTTAGCCCAGATTCTCTTATTTAAACAGAACTGCTTTTGGTGACAGAAACCCAGTGACAAATACATGGGCTTGCAGGAGGAGACAAACCGTATGGAACGGTCCAGATTTCTATTTAGGGTTCTCTTTGTGTTAAAATAGTTTTCAGTAATGGGTCATGCTTCCCTCCCCCTTCTCCTTGTTTTAGTACATAAAATGGACATGTGTTTATTTAAAACAGGTTTGAAACTTAAACAAATAGTGACAGGCTGTTCAAACAAGCTTCGGAAATAGGCCTAATCAGGATGTTTGAGAAGGGGAGGGCAAAGAACCATAAAGAGCTACTTGTAATATATAGCACAGGCCCCATTAGGTTGGGTTCGTGTTATTGTTGTAATAATCTCAGACCAAAATAAAAGCCTGCGAGCTGCAGATCCTCTGCTCGCATTCCTCTCCCGAGCGTGGGTTACGCTGGGCTTTTGTGCTGCCCACAGGCCTTGCGGTGCCCCTCAGCCCGTCCTCACGGGCACCGAGCAGCAGTCCTGGATTCGGCAGCAGCCCTGGATTCGGCAGGAGCTGAACTGCTTCCTGAGCGGCTGGGCTGGACGCTGCCAAGCCAGGGTAGGAGGGAGGCAGCGGGCGCCTTCCCTTGGCCTTCCCCTTGCTCGCTGTCCTGCAGCCCACAGAGAGAAACCCTTAAAAATCTAACATTGAAAGGCTTTCACGTGACTTGCATTTCCACGACATTTTTTTTTCATTTCCTCCCTTTTCCACTCTGAATAATATCAAAAAGTGTTGAACTTTAGCCTTGCTGTGTTTTTACAAGGCCTGATCTTGAACTCCCTATACGGACAAAACTCTCATCGAAGTCAGCGAGCCTGCGCTGGCAACAGCAGGATTTAGCCCAGTCTGTAACGTTTTAGGATATTGTGTTACTTCATAGCCTTAAGGAGAAATAAAAGCAGCTTTCCAAAGAACTGCACAGCAACCTGTGTATGCTCCTCAGCCCTGTAACAGCACAGCCAAATATTAAGGCCAGAGTTTGCAAAAGTCTGTTTCAAAAACAAGCTAAGTGAGAGTTGCCAAATGCTCTCGGAAACAAATAGTTTGCATTAAGATATTCCCCCCGAAGTTAAGCTGCTTTCACTTAAGAATATACCTTTCAAAAGTCAAGTTTGAAAGAGACTGCCTGGAGGAACTAGCAATAAGAAATAAAAGATATTGGAAGGAAGATATGTTTTCATGGACAGTCTTTTGGCCAGATCGTACAACTGTTCTCCTCTTGGCACACTCGCTCATACCCACCAGATGCATCAATGGTATTTAAAGACAGACGTCTTTGGAAGTAAACACATTTTATTTGAGTTGGGCTCCATGAACGAGAGTCAGAGCAGTAAAATGTTGAAAACCTTACGCGCCCTCTCGTGGTGAAAGCCCCAGTGCTCTTCCTACGAGAACGCTCTTGCTCCATGGGCGCTGTTTCCCAGGTTTTCCTTGGCAGTTTGGGAGCAGAGCTGGACTGTCACATTTGGGGTGCTGTCCCTCCGTGAGCACACGTTTCCCAACCTCTGCCTTGAGCTGGATGCCCCAGGGGAATCCATTCGACAAGATGGTCACAAGGGAAAACAGCCTTTTTCAAGGCTGGGAAACTGTGGTTCGACCAGCATGTTGATGCAGCTTGATCTAGGGCCAGACCACTGCTACACCCGGGGCAAAACATGTTTATCAGGAGCGCGGGACCAAGGTGTCCCTGTTTTGGTGACAGTGGTCATGCACCTGCAGAGGTGCAACACCAGTCTGCACCCTACCAGCCTTAGCTGGTGTGGAGGAAACATCTGAGCAGCACGTTTAGGTGTCTGAAACCACCTCTAGGAAACAAGATAAATAATCCCTTATTTTCAGGGTGACTGATTCACAATATGGACCGCTGAGTCCAAGGGAAGCTCAAGGTTTGGAGAAGGAAGTTCCTTTAAGCTCCTTTTGATTATATGTGTTTGCAAACATACATTCAGGAACCAGAACGAAGGCACTTACATGTCAAAATGCTGTGCCGGAGGCTGGGCATACCTAAGGCCCTGCACAAAACCTTTACTTCCAAGTCCCCGTTTTAAGAGCTTTGCTGCTCTTCTGCTGGAGCGTTGGTGGGTGACTGCTGCGCACCAGGAAAATCCCTCTCCTTAACGTTGTTTGATAGTTTTTTAGATTCTGTAACAAAAAAAAAGAAAAGTCTATGTATTGCTAACCGTGTGCTGCAGTGCAAATCCTGTGGCCCCCTGTATATCCTCACTGTTGCGATTCTGATATTCCCTCATTTCCCTTTCCAGGATGCCTTCGTGGAGTTGTACGGCAACAGTATGCGGCCTTTGTTCGATTTCTCCTGGATCTCTCTGAAGACTATCCTAAGCCTGGTTCTGGTGGGAGCTTGCATCACTCTTGGCGCTTATTTCGGACATAAGTAGAGGCACCCAGTTTATCGTGGATTACAAAAGTCTTTCAAAACAGCAAAATAATATTTTTTTTTTCTGTAGCACAATGATATTTTATGAGCAGAACAACTTCCTGGCTAGAGATTAAATCAGCTATTACTGCCAAAGGAAATATCATTTATTTTTACATCGCAGGAAAATTATTTATTAAAAGATATTTAGTTTAACCTGCTATTTTCAGAAACTCCGCTACTTGTATCTGTCGTCACATCACGTTGTTGTTAACTTCAGTGAGCCCTGAAGTTCTTTTTTTAATCAATTAATGCAGCTGACTGGATTATTTTATCTCTGGAGAGCAAATATACTGACAAAGACACTTAGGAAGGCAGTTACTTGAGCTGCTAAAGGCTGTGTAATTTTTGTTGGTTTTCCTTGCCTTTTTTTTTTTTTTTTTTTTTTTTTTTTTTTTGATGGCTTGGAGGGATCTGAAAGGAAAAAAAAAAGAAAAGGAAAAAGGTCAGTGTGAACGTAGTTCAAACCCTGTCCTGCTGGCAAGAACTGACACGAGTAAATGATTCAACATGGTACATACATTGGGTCAAAACGGCGACCTCTCAAAGGCCAGTTGGCTCTCCCGGCAGGATAACCGCTTGGAATGGGATTGCCTATGCCTTGTGAACACACGTTTTCAAGATACCGGCTGCGCCGTCACGTCATGTTCACAACAGCACCGTCCCATACCCTCATACACAGCAACGCCAACACTCGCCTTTCATTTTATTCTTAATAGAAGCGTGAAGCTAAATCCATGGGGTCTGCCGGCAGCCGCCCTTCCAGTGGTTCTTCTCCGTGGTGGAACCTTCCTGCAGCTATGGGCACGGAAGCAGCGGGAGAGGCGGAGCAGCCGCCCTGGCTGCAGCGAGGCCTGCGCGCCGCGGAGAGCCCCATCCCATTGGCCTCGAAGCCCGGGAAACTGCGGGAGAGGCAGGAAGCAGAGCCGACCTCCGCCGAGCGACGGATTAGCTCCAGCTTAGCCTTGCTTTTCAAACTGGACACCAAAATCAAGATTCATCAATTTCATGACAAAAATAATAAAAAAAAAAAGAAAAGAAATAAATAATAGAGATCTATCCTCCAGCCCCTCACCCTGGAAGCTGTTTCAGCTGGTAGCTTCCTCAGACTGTCTGCGGAAGGAAGGAAGGAAGGAAGGAAGGAAGGAAGGAAGGAAGGAAGGAAGGAAGGAAGGAAGGAAGAAAGGAAGGAAGGAAGGAAGGAAGGAAGGAAGGAAGGAAGGAGGATGAAGAACCTCTCGAGACGCTACTCCCGGACAGAGGCTTCTCCACCGCCTCCGGCGCTGGGAGCGCGGCTCCGGAGCGCGGCTCGCCGCTGCGGGGGCCGAGCAGCACACCCGCCTGCGGCACCTCGCCCAGTGCAGGGGGGCTTTCCACGCGCCCCGAGGGGCGGCACGGGCGGCTCCGGCGCACGGGAACTGCCACCGGCAAAGACCTCGGCCAAGCGTTCCTGCTTTTTCCTGTGAAACTTTGGAAACCTGGGGTTTGTGGTTAAATGGACAGCCAGAGGGAAAAAAAGAATAAAAAATCTGAAAACAGGTTATAAAAGCTCTGGATGAAACGTACTATACATAAATGCTAGAAGGGTGAAAAAGATATAGCGAATAAACTGTAGGTGGGTCCTCAAGATTTTAGTTGGATAACTTTGTGGCATTATATGCAAAATATCTCCATTAACTTGGGAATGTAATATGTTCAATGTTAACGCTGTAGTTGATGTTGTGTCTTCAAAGCTGCTTTTTTATTTGTTTATTTTTTTTAAGAGTTGTACATCTCAGCATTTGTACTGCTATTTAGTTGTGGCACCTACACTTTGTATAAGCAAAGATGGAGTGAGCTTTACATTTCAAATTTGGAAACTTTTTAAATTTTAAAGAAACATGTAAGGGAAATGTTTCGAGGCACACAAAAATGTGATCTAAACTATGCTTGCTAAAAAACAAAAAGTATAGAGAAGAAAAAAAACAGCATGAAAAGAAAAGCTCCTGCAATGTGTTTAGAGAGCTGCAGTTAAAAATGGGCACGCTCATGCAGGATACTTACGAAAACTATTTGAAATGGGAGGAACTGAATTTTGTGGATTGAGTGTGGGCTTTATTTTTTTAGCTACGAAGCTGAATTTGAAGTCGATTTCAAAACCAGTATTGGCTGGTATGGAGCTAATATTTCATTTCACAATCTAGTCTTTGTTCCAATTTGTGCCCATGCGCCCATTAAAGTTCATGAACTATTAGACCTCAAATTGTTTCAATATTGTTTATTTTATTAAAGGTTTACATTGTCAAAAATATTAAAAGAGTAACTATTGATTCCTGTGCTGCTATACTACCAAGATAATTTGAATGGGGTTTATTTTTAATATCTTCCAATGGCAAAAGATTTTTAAAGCTGCTTTAGAAATAATATGAAGAAGACACATGATACACATTTACGTAAATATTGACAAATTTGTGTTCTGTTGTGTCTACGCACTGGACTTCCCAGTGCATCAGTTAATACCAAGCAAAAAGAAGAGTCATGATGACTGTTGCTGATTTTATTTTATTAAACATCTAACAGACTTTTTCCCATCCTGACTGCAGAATAGTTACAGTATTGTGGCTGCGTTAGCTATAATGATAGTTGATAATACATTTATTAAGAAACATATTAGAAACATTGAATGTATATAAAAACTTGGACTTCTTTAATAAAATCCTCTCCTTTCACTCCTTCATTTCTTTTGCAATAATTCCTGCCTCTCCTGTTCTTCATCATACTTTCACACAGACTTTTTTTCCCTCCACGAAATCTCTTGTAGACTTCCATGCTCCTAAGCCTGCGCTTCAGCAAAAACCCTTTCTCTGTCCCCGCCTGTGACAGGTAGCAGTAACTGGCTGCTGCGAGCGGATCGAAGCTGTAAAAGCAGCAACTACCTAACACGAGAGAGCCACGTCTGGAGTTGATTAGATGTGGAAGACCAGAGGACCACAAAGGAAGAGGTCAAGAAGTGGAGGGAGCAAAAAGGTCAGGGAAACATCTCCCATGTCCAAGGTGACTGCTGCATGGGGTATCTCTCATCCTTTCCCCAGAAAAAAGGATGGTGTGAGCACAGAGTGAAGGATTACACGGACCATCCCCTCCAATGCACACACAATCATTCTTTACAATAAAGCTTTGTTAGCTCTAAAGGCAGTCGTCTGCAAAGCAGAAAATTCCTATGAGTTTAGGAAAAACACTCGATTTTGCTATATTCAGTGTATTCGCCATTAGTTCATTTTCACCTCATTTGTTAAGAAAACAACGAAGGAACATATTTTGCTTCTGAAAGGAAATCCTGTAAGATCACCTCTTACTTGTTACAGGTATTAGCTTAAGAGTTAATGGGGAAAAAAAAAAGATAAAATAAAAACAAGAAAGCCCCAAATTGTTCAAGTTGAATATTCTGAAATCAGAGCTGACACAGAGGACATTTCATAAAGGACCAGGTATTGGATCCAGCAGTGGAGAAATGGGGCCGTGGGGTGAAAGGGAGCAGATAAGGCAGGGGGCTGGAAGATACCGAGAATGAAACTGGCATGTTAAAAAATCTCAAGTTTCGTAAGATGCAGGAGTTCACCCAAGATGATTTGAAAACAACATCTAACTATAACCAGCTGCAAATTTGTGTGTAACTACGTGACTTCAATTATTCAAAAATGTCAATTATATTTTTTAGACATTGTTACATTGTCTGATCAATCAGTCTAAAAGTTCCTTGCTTTCCTGTTGTGGTTTGGGATTTCCCAGCCTCATTAGTGTTGCACTGATAAAGAACCATTAGGAAAGACAAAAAAAAAAGAAAGCCTAAAGCGTCTTTGAACACAGAAGAGCCAAGGAGGGGTTGGGCTGCCACAGCTGAGAGCGTATGGACCCAGTATGCCCAAACCTTGCATCCTCATCCTCCCCAGCCGTGCCAGTGGGAGTCAGGGCTCAGTGTGCAGGGCTGCATGCCTTGACTCTGAAGCATGACGCTGTGCTTAGCTGCGCATCTGCGCTCAGTTTCACAAGCCTAAAAATCCTTTTGATTAAAAACACAGTGCAGTAGCACGCCTAAAGCCTGTCTTTATTTTCTCTCTCTCTCTCTCTCTCTTTTTACACAAGCCAGCAATATGTTTCATTTGTATTATGAGTTAATGGCTCAGTACTCTATGAAAAGATAAGCATCTTTGATTTATGAGTATAAAATTCTTTTTCATCACAAAAAACCCCAGTTTCTCGCTATCTCTTTCAAACAAGGCTAAGTAAAAGGAAGCCAAAAGAGCTGATTTAATCAGCATTTGTTTTAAAACACACTCCTATACTAAGAGTTAATATAGCTTCATTCCACAATGAAATCCTTTTCACCAATTTATACAGCATTAAGAATTACATGCAAAAAACTATATATTTTTATAATTTAAATAGCATATTTTTTCTTTTCCTTCTGAATATTTGAATTTTAATTATCACCAGCATAAATGTACATAAGCAGGTATCGTTTATCCAGTACCATTGGATGATGTATGTATGGTAATGTAGTTTGCCAGTCTATCATCATTTAATATGATTATGTTGTTCTTTGTCTTTAAAATGTTATAAGAACATGCTGCCATTAAACTTTCCGTGTCTGTCTAGTTAATATTGTGAAGAAATAATAAAGCACACTGTGAGTTACCTGTTTTGCATTTGAATTGCTTAGGCATCCTTGATAAAGATCTACTTAAGCGCTGCTTAAGCACTACTCAAGAGTTTAATCCTATAGATAAAAAGTAATCTTTCCTTCCTGATCATGCTATTGACACATTTTGCTCTGCGTGAACATCTTCAAGCTACAGTGACTCTGTAGAAGTACTGCTGGCCCACCTGATTCTTTTTTGTTCTGAATTGAAATATTACGATGAAGGTATATTTATTTTATTTATAATTTAATTTATAATTTTTATTTTATTTATAATGAAAATTTGTGATGTTTGTAAAGGCATAGATGCTAGAACTTTGGGAACACGGCCAATTCTCAGATATCCTTAAAAGGAAAAGAAAAAAAAACTTTCTAATCTTCTCAATAGCAGAGAGGCTTTTTAAAAATAAATAAATTAGTAACTTGCACCTTTAACATTTATGCAACAGAAACTCATACCATTTTAAATGTATGATTTAATATGTTATATTTTTCAAGCTAAAATCAAAAAACAATTGAAGATATGATTTAGGTCATAAGATGGTAGGTGGAGACTTTCACTCATACCAGGTTTGTCTTAAGCTTAAGGGCTCTAAGCAGCAGCATAATTATAACATTCACTTTTGGGGCTTAACTTTACCAGCTAGTCTCCATGGGCTTCACATAAAGTCATTGGAGAAGGAGGTCTTGAGGG